GGAGAGAACAGTCATTGGAGAAGGATGTCATGCTGGGTAAGGTGGAGGGTCAGAGAAAAAGAGGAAGACCCCCAACGAGATGGATCAGCCAGGTGACATCATTGATGGCGTCAAGTGTGGCGGCAGTAGTGAGGTTGGCCCAGGATCGGACATTGTTTCGTTCTGCTGTGATTGGGGTAGCTATGAGTTGGTTCCGACTCGATGGCACCTGACAACAACAACATACTTTGTAGGTTCTATGTTCTGATTATTAATGGATATTTGCAGCTGTTCTTTCTCATTTTCATTTGTGCCACATCAACAAATGAAGATCTGTAAAGTTTAACACCATCCATGTCATCAAAGGTGAACTCTTTTCTGTGGTGACAACTCTTCCCCCATCATATTTAGAGTGCTTTCCAAACTGAGGGGATCATCTTCTGGCACTATATCTGACAATGTTCCTCTGCTATTCATGAGATTTTCAATGGCTAACCATTCAGAAGAGAAGTGGTCTACCTCTCTTTCCTGTCTGCCTTAGTCTGGAAGCTCTGTTGAAACCTGTCTACCATGGGTGACTCTCCTGGTATTTAATATACTGGTTGCACAGCTTTCAGCATCACAGCAACACACAAGTCATCTCAGTAAGACAACTGACAGAAGAATTACTAATGAAGATCAAAGACTAACACCTTCGGTAAGTACTGCACCTCAATGTAACGAAAATAAAAATCCTGACAACTGGACCAGTAAATAACATCATGATAAATGAACAAAGGATTGCAGTTTTTGAAACCTTCTATTTGTTTGCATCCACAATCAATGGTCATGGAAGCAGCAGTCAAGAAATCAAATAGCGCACTGAATTACATAAATCTGTTGCACAAAAGCTCCTCAAAGTGTTCTTGAGCAAAGAGGTCACGTTAAGGACTCAGGTGCACCTGACCCAAGATGAGGTATTTTCATTTGCCTCATGAGCATGTGAAAGTTGGACAATGAGTAAGGAAGACTATAAAAAAACGATACATTTGAATTATGGCATTGGCAAAGAACATTGAAAATACCACAGACTGCTAGAAAAACAAACAGATCTATCTTGGAATAAGTGTAGCCAGATCAATTTGGAAAAATTGATGCCTTTGAATTGTGGTGTTGGAGGAGAGTACTGAAAGTGCCATGGACTGCCAAAAGAACCAATAGATCTATCTTGGAATAAGTGTAGCCAGATACTTCTTAGAAATTATGATGTTGAGTCTTCGTTTCTCATACTTTGTTGGACATATTATCAGAAGAGACCAGTCCCTGCGGAAGGTCACCATGCTAAGAAAAGTTGAGAGTCCATGAAAAAGAGGAAGACAACCAACAAGATGGACTGACATAGTGGCAGCAACAGTGGACTTAAACATAACAATTGTGATGATGGCACATAACTGGACAGTGTTTTGATCTGCTGTGCACAGGATCACTATAAGTCTGAACTGATTCAGCCACACCTAATAGTGACAAATAGATGGAAAGACATTCTGTGTTCGTGAACTGAAAATGTATAATCATGGTATCAACACTGTTCAAAGCAATCTACAAATATAACATAATCACAATAAAAATTCCAATTGTTGTTAAGTGTCATCAAGTTGGTTCTGACTCATAGTAACCCTGTATAGGGTTTCCAAGGTGGAGCTGGTCGATTTGAACCGCTGACTTTGCAGGTGGCAGTCCAGTGATTATACTACAAAGCCACGCTAGTAGTTAGGTGTTATCAATTCGATTCCAACTCATAGCAAATCTGTACACAACAACACAAAACACTGCTCAGCCCTGCACCAGCTTCACAATTATCATTTACACCTGAGTCCACTGCTGTTGCTACTGTGTCAATACATTCATTGATGGTCTTCTACCTTATTACTGATCCTCCACTTAATCAAGCATGATGTCCTTCTCCAGGGACTGGTTCCTCCTAATAAATGTCTTAAGTATGAGACAAAGTCTTGCCATCTTGGCTTCTAAGGAGCATTCTGGATATACTTGTTTCAAAATCGATTTATTTGTTCTTCTTGTAGTCCGTGGTATTTTAATATTCTTTTACAACACTGTCATTCAAATGCATCAATTCTTTTCCAGTCTCTCTTATTCACTGTCCAACTTTCATAAGAATATGAGGTGAGTGAAAACACCATGGCTTGGGTCAGGTGCACCTTAGTTGCAAACTGGTATCTTTGATCTTTAACTCTTTAATGAGGTTTTTTGCAAGAGTCTTCATCAAAGGCACTTTAATCACTGGGAAAATTCACAGCAACCCTGTATAGGGTTTCTGAGGCTATAAATCTTTATGGGAGCAGAAAACCTCATCATTCTCCCAAGGAGCAACTGGTGGATTTGAACTACTGACCTTGCAGTTAGCAGCCCAACCCATAACCCACATAATTTCCACAAAAGTAAATCAGCAGGCATTTCTTCCATGGAGTCACTGGTGAGTATGAACTGCCACATTAGGCAAGTAGTCAAGCACAAACCATTTACACCACCCAAGGGATCTTCTTAATTCAATTGTTATTGTTAAATGCCCTTGAGTTGGTTCCTACTCATAGCAACCCCATTCAGGGTTTCCAAGAAGCAGCCTCATCTTTCTCTGGGAAACAGCTGGTAGTTTTGAACTGGTAACCTTGAGGTTAGCAGCCCAATTTGTAACCACTATGCTACCAGAGCTCCTTTAGCTATCTATAATCCTGTCTAAACTCAACTAACCATACTGATCTGTTGTACCTGTCTTCTGCTTGAAACTTCTTTGTGCTGTCTAGATTGAAGATGATGATGGCTATCCAGAAGACAATCTTCTTGCTTTCTTTCTGCCATCCCATATGACTGCTTCCTTAAATATAAGCTCTAAAAGAAAGAAAAGTACTTGCTAAATGGTACAGTAATTGTACAGCTAAATTGAGTAGTAACATAATAGCAGTGATAATACTGCAAGCTTCAGTGACAGCCCTGAGATAATCTAAATAGGTCAGGATAGTCTGATACAATATGGCATAAAAGTAAATATTATACTTCTTGCCAATATAATGGATCTAAACTTTTTACCTTCAAAACAATATTAAGTTTCTCCATCTATAAAATAAGGATAACAGTATCTATCTCCCAGGGTTATTGTGAGAATTACATTAGCTAATGCATACAAGGTTATACTGTTTAGGCTTTAGGAAGTGCTCAATAGATGTAAACTTTATAAATAATAAGATTAATACCATTATTTACAGTATTAATAACAGTTTATCATTGTCATCATCAATGTTAACAGCATAGCTCTAGTAAGCCTATTTCAACTGCTTTATAATTTACTTTCTGCTGCTTATTCTTTACTATACTCTGCTCTACCTGCTTTCTGATAGAGTCAGGAGCTTGATTCTCACATAAAACATACTCATGTTGGTATTAATTGCCATAGAGCCAGTTCCAACTCATAGCGATCTGCGTAGGGTTTCCAAGAAGTAGTTGGTGTGTTTAAACCATCAAACTTGTGGTTAGTAGTCTAGCTGTCCAGTGCTTATCCTATAGCACCACACCAGAACCCTATGTTGCTGTTGTTAAGTGTCATCCAGTCGGTTCCGACTCATAGTGACCCTGTATAGGGTTTCCAAGGAGTGGCTGGGGGATCTAAACCACCACCTTGCAGTTCAAACTGATCTTGTGGTTCAGAGCCATCCCAGGACTCCATAGCACTCTGGAAATAACTCCTTTCTCAATCTCTTATCTGCCCTATCTGGTGTGGCACTGTGGGTTAATGTACCAGACTGCAAAGCCATTTGAACTGCAAGATCATCAGTTCAAGCTCATCAGTTGCTCCTCAGAAACCCTATACAGAGTGGCTATGGGTTGGAATCGACTCAACGGCATTTCACAACAACATAAGCTAAAAACGGAAATAAACACTGAACATAAATTGTTGACAATGGATCAATATGTCTGTGGCAATAAAGACTTCAGTGAGGAAGTCTGAAGTAGTGTCAGAGGTCAGAATGGTGTGATACATCACAGAACAAGAAAACATATTTTTTGTCCACTTTTATTAACCTACCACTAAGACCGTGAAGCATTGCTTTGCTAATCTTGAGCCCAAACCTAGCAATTTACTCTGCTACCTTCTCCTCACTCTATTCTGCCCTACTTATTCTCTGACAGGGCCAACTCTTGAATACTGAGTAAAACATATTGATGGTACTCCATAAGCAACTCCTCTCACCATCTTCCATTTCTTAAGAGATAAGGGTTGTTTAGTATATACTTGCTCTAACAAACTACAAAACGAATTGTCTAACCAGAAATGATGGGCGACTGACAATATAGACTTACAGACTGACAATACAGACTTATAGACTTCAGTGGCAACATCAGAATAATGATACTAAATGAAGAGTATATGTGAGCAAATGAAAAAATTTTCAAACATACATTAAAGTAGGGAAACAACTATAATGAATCCCATGTTCCTGATCACCCAGTTTCAATAATTAGGAACATTTTGCTTTTTCATCTCTCTCTTCTTCTACTTTGTTCCTGGAATATTTTTAAACAATCCAGTGTATTCTTGCACATTTTGAAATAACTGAAGACATTACACTTTCAGCTTTATTTCTGGAGTCCCTAATTCTATACATTCCACATATAACTAGCTTGATATGCTCCAGCCCAAATCTTAAGTAATTTAGTCTTTGTCACTCCCTTCCACTGCATTCTGCTCTACCTGTTCTCCAGGGGAAGCTTGGTCCTGGATTTTAGGTATAACATACTGATGATTCTCCTGAGGCGATTCCTGTCTTACTGTCTCCTCTCTCATGAAAGATGAAGATTGCTTGAGAAACGTGTTCTAAAGAAACAACAGAAATACAAAACATTTGACCTAAAAATGAGAATGTTACACCCTTAACCCAACTCTGTAGACCTTAAATCTTAATCACAAACCAAGTAAAGACAGTCTGACAAACTCTATACATCTAAAGTAATTTAGACTTTGTCACTTCCTCCCACTGCATTCAATTCTACCTGTTCGCCCAGAGAGGTTTGGTCCTGGATTTTAGTTGTAACATACTGAGGATTTTCCTGAGGCAATTCCTGTCTCACTCTATTCTCTCTCAGAAAACATGAGGGTTGCTTCAAAATCATGTTCTAAAGAAACGAAACAAAACAAATGGCCTAATCAGGGTAATGTGCTAGTAAGAATATTGTAGGCTTCAGTGAGAACCCCAGCATAGCGATACTAGAAGAGGATATTCTGATATATTATGACATAAATATATTATACCCTTAGCCCAACTCTGTAGACCTTGTTAATTTCAAACCATGTACAGAGCAGTCTGACAAACTCTCAAATCTTAAGTAATTTAGCATCTAATGCATCTTCCTACATTATTCATGTGGGGATATATGCAAGTGGTAATACTGGCTTGAGCAAAGGTGTGGAATAATTTTGGTAAATTAAAATAGTCTAACTACTCTGTAATAAAACATAAAGGTGATACATCAACTTCTGAATGAAAGAATTGATTTGATTAATATAGTTGAGACCAGGGCCATATGCACCATTACATAAAAGGTAAAATCACTGTCACTGAGTTAGTTTCAACTCATAGTAACCCTATAAGACAGAGTAGAACTGCTTCCTAGGATTTCCAAGACCGCACATCTTTACAGGAGCAGACTGCATCGTTTTTCTTCCACAGATTGGCTGGGGAGTTTGAACTACCACTCTTTTGCTTAGCAGTCCAACACTTAACCACTGTGTCACCAGGACTCTGTCCAGGTACAAGAGAGAACAGAAAAATGAGAAGAAACATCATCAGGAAATGAACTGTTTAGAACTTAACACCCTATGCCCATCCTTCTTGAAGCCATGCCTCTATTCTACTAGGACCATTTTCTCACAAAGAAGTTAACCATTCTTTGGTTAACTTTGAAGGCCCTGGTTCTAGATTTCAAATTACCCGTCGTAATTCAGAATCTATTTTCTGTTGCTTAATCTTTTGGGGTCTGTTCTACCTGATCTCTGATGAAGGTCTGTTCCTGGAGTTTAGGAGGCAGATACTTAGAATCTGCCAGGGAGAAGTCTTCTTCCCCACTCCCATCCATTATAGCACAATGTGGCTCCTTGAAGCGTACTTTCTAAAAGAGAAAGAAAGCAAAAGATAAATGTTCCAATAAATGTAACATGATAGCAATAATATATGCTAGGTTTTATTGAAAGCCTACTGATAGGGTAATTTTTTAAAGTCAGGATAATACGAAATAAAACAGAAAACTATACTTTTTGTTAGTTCTGCAATTGAACTGGAGCAATCTTTGTAAGCTCCAAACTAAACCCTAAAAAATTCAGTCCCTGCTGATCTCTCTCTTCTTTTTACTGTCCTACCTTGTACCTGATGGAGGCTTGATCTTGATGCCTGTGTAGATCAGGCTTGACATCCAGAGGAAAAACCTCTCTCTCTCCCCTACCTATCAAAATTGAAATTGATGCCGGCTGTTTCAAATTTACTTTCTAGAAAAGAACAAACACGAAAGATCAATTGTTCAGTTAAGAATAATAGGTTACCTAGGAATACTTTAGGCTTTAGTGAAAATTGTGGAGCTGAGGTCTGAGTGTAATTGGGCACTTCATTGAATAAAAGAAAAAACTATATTCCACAAACTCAACTACACTATATTAAGCAAAGTCACAACCCTAATGTTTACTTCCTGTTCATCCATTTCTTCTTCCTGTTGGTCTAACTGATCTCTGGTGGAGGACTGGACTTGGAGCACTGGTAGAAGACAGTGTTTGGCACTTGTGGGCCGTTCCTTTCTCCATCTTGCAGTTGTCAAAGCAAGTGATGGTTGCCTGAAGTATGTTTCCTAATGAAGATAGCAGAAAAGAAATGTGAATGACTCCGACAAGTATAATATGCTGCTAATTATAGCTAGACACTTAGAAAAACTGAATGTCAAGTCAATTTTTGATAAATCATTAGGAAAACTCTTTTTTTTCCAACCCTGAATCTCTAAATAAACTGCAATATTGTTGCTTTTGCTGTTGTTATTAAGTAACATCATGTCAGTTCCAACCAATAATAATAACCCTATATAGGGTTCCCAAGGAGCAACTGTTAAGCTTGACCTGCTGACACTGAGGTTCATTTCAACTTTGCAGTCCAGCGCATTAACCCACAGCGCCACACCAGGATGCCAACACAGTCCTTGTAAATCCCACTCTAAACCTTGCTCTATTCCTTCTCTACTTTACCTGGTATTTGGGTACAATATCTTGGTCCTGACATTTGGGTAGAATATTCTGGTCTCTATGTAGAACATCTTCATCTTTAAGTAGAAAATCCTGGTCTTTGGGTTGAACACCCTGGATTTCAGGTAAAAAATCCTGGGCTTCTTCCATCATAATACTCCCTTCTTCCAGCTCAATACTCTGGGCTTTCAACATAACACCGTGAGCTTTTGTCTCTGCAGCCTGGGCTCTGGGCTCACCAGTCTGGTTTTCAAGCTCATCAGCCTGGGTTTCGACCTCATCAACTTGGGTTTCAGGCTCATCAGATTGGGTTTTAAGCTCGCCAGCAGGAACTTCCAGATCAAAAGCCTGGGTATCTGGCTCAAGATTCTGAGCTTCTGATTCAGCACTCTGGACTCTTGGTAAAACACCAAGGGTTTCAGACAGATCACTTTGGACTTCTTGAAGATAATCCTGGGCTTCTGACAACATATCCTGAAAATGTAACTGCTTTAGTTCTTTCTCTTCCATCACATCAAATAATGGATTTTTAAACTGTACTTTCTAAAAGTGAACATAAATACCAAATATAAATATCAGGCAGTAGCAACACTCTTGACTCTTGAAGATTCATAAAATAAACCTAAAAGGATATACTAGTAAAATAAATTACTAGAATAAAATATGACTCTACAGTTTTTGCTCAACTTAACAGAACCTATATTAATATCCCAAACCAATACAATGGTACTGGCAGTCTCTAGTCCAAACAGCAATTAGCTTACGTTCTCTTACCCTATCTCCTTTCATTCTGCTTTACCTGAACTCTGTTGAAAGGCTTATCCTTGATTTCAGAAAGGAGATCCTGCTGGTCACCCCAAAGCAAATTCTCTCTCCATTTCTCATCTGTCATAATAGATACACATCCTACAGAGTCAAGTTTCTACAGAACGAACAAAAAAACATGTAGATATTACTGGTAGAAACAACATAATTACAATAAAATCGTTGTTGTTAGGTGCCAGTGAGTCGGGACCGACTCATAATAACCTTATGCACAGCAGAATGATACACTGCACGATCCTGGGCCAACCTCACAACTGTTGCCACACTTGAGCCCATCGATGCTGCCACTTGTCCAATCCATCTCATTGGGGGTCTTCCTCTTTTTCTCTGACCTTCCACCTTACCAAACACGATATCCTTCTCTAGTGACTGGTCCCTCCAGACAATATGTTTGAAGTATGAGAGACGAAGTTTCACCATCGTGGCCTCCAAGGAGCACTCTAGCTGCTCTTCTTCCAAAACAGATCTATTGGTTCTTTTGGCAGCCAATGGCACTTTCAATATTCTCCTCCAACACCATAACTCAAAAGCATCAATTGTACTACAGTCTTCCTTATTCACTGTCCAGCTTTCGCATGAATATGAGGTTATTGAAAATACCAAGGCTTGGGTCAGGCGCACCTTTGTCCTCAAGCTGACATCTTTGCTCTTCAACATTTTAAAAAGGATTTGTGCAGCAGATTTGCCTAATGCAATATGTCATTTGATTTCTTGATTGCTGCTTCAGTGAGTGTGGATAGTTGATCCAAGGAGAATGAAGTCTTTGACAACTTCAATCTTTTCTCCATTGATAAGAAAGTTGTTTATTGGTCCAGTGGTGAGGATTTGTGTTTTCTTTACATTGAGATGTAATCCATACTGTAAGCTGTGCTCTTTCATATTCATCAGTAAATACTTTAAGTCCTCTTAACTTTCAGCAAGCAAGGTTGTATCATCTGCATATTGCAGGTTGTTAATGAGCCTTCCTCCAATCGTGATGCCACGTTTTTCTTCTTATAACACAACTTCTTGGATGATTTGCTCAGCATCAAGGTTGAATCAATATAGTGAAAGAATACAACACTGTTGCACACCTTTCTTAATTTTAAACCATTCAATGTTCCCATGTTCTGTTCGAACAACAACTTCTTGGTCCAGGTACAGATTCCTCATGAGGCCAAGTCAGTGTTACGGAATACTCATCTTTCTCAATGTTGTCCATAGCTTGTCATGATCCACACATTCAAAAGCCTTTGCATAGTCAATAAAGCACAGGTAAACGTCTTTCGGATAGTCCCTGCTTTCAGCCAAGATCCATTTGACGTCAGCAATGATATCCATCACTCCATGGCCTCTTCTGAATCCAGCTTGAGCCTCTGGAATTTCTCTGTCAATGTATGCTTGCACCCATTTCTGTATTACCTTTAGTAAAACTTTCCTCACATGGGGAATCAAAGAGTTTCTCCGTTGATTTCCACATTCCACTGGGTCACCTCTCTTTGGAATGAGCACAAATCTCTTCCAATCAGTTGGCCAAATTGTTGTCTTCCAAATTTCTTGGCAGAGATGAGTGAGTGCCTCCAGTGCTGCCTCACTTTCTTTAAAGATTACAATTTTTATTCCATCAGTTCCTGGTGTCTTGTTCTTTGCCAATTCCTCAATGCACTTTGGTCTTCTTCCTTCAGTATCACTGGCTCTTGATTATATGCTACCTCTTGACATGGTTGAACATTAACCACTTCCTTTTGGTACAGTGAATCTGTGTATTCTTTCCATCTTCCTTTGATGCTTTCTACATCATTCAATAATTTGCCCAGAGAATCCTTCAATAACAAAAGTCGAGGATTGAATTTTTTCTTCAGTTCCCCCAGCTTGAGAAATGCTGAGCGTGTTCTTCCTTTTTGGTTTTCTCATTCCAGATCTTTGCACATATTGTTGTAGTATTTGGCTTTATCTTCTCGAGTTGATCTTTGAAAGTTTCTACTCAGCTTTTGTAGCTCATTTCTTCCATTTGCATTAGCATCTCTATGCTAGAGAGACAGTTTCAGTGTCTCTTCTGACATCCATTTTGATCTTTTCCTTCTTTTATGTTTTCTTAATAACTTTTTGTTTCTTCATATGCGATGATCTTGATGTCATCCCACAACTCTTCTGGTCTTTAGTCTGTAGTGTTTAATGTAGCAAATCTGTTCTTCAGATGATCTCTAAATTCAGGTGGGATATATTCAAGGTCATTATTTTGGCTCTCATGGGCTTGTTTTCATTTTCTTCAGCTTCAGTTTGAATTTGCGTAAGAGTAATTGATGGTCTATTCCACAGTCTGCCCCTGGATTTGTTTTGATTGATGATATGGAGCTTTTCCAGCGCCTATTTCCACAAAAATAAAAATAAAATCCTAGGCTTCAGTATATTAGGAGTCTAGTAGATCAACATAGCCATTCATTGTAAAATTGGATATTACAAAAGAAATGCATCATTTGAATACTGAAAACTATAATACATTATTAAAAGAAACTAAATTAGATTTAGATGAATGAAAGGAGGCCTGGTGCAAAACGGTGAAGCACTTGACTGCTACATGAAAGGTCTGCAGTTTGAACTTTTCAGGCTCTCTATAGAAGATAAGTCTTTTAATCTGTTACTATAAAGATTACAGCCTATGGGGTAGGACTACACTGTCAAACAGGATCACTCAGAGTTCGAATCAACTTGATGGCACACAAGAGCAGTAACAAATGAATGGAAACATATCCTATGTTCATGGATTGGAAAATTAATATTGCTGAGATGTCAATATTATTTCAAGGTATTTATAAATACCACCACTCATCTGTCAGTTTCTAGTACTATGGTGGCTTGTGAGTTGCTGTGATTCTGGAAGCTATGCAACCAGTATTCTAAATACCAGCAGGATCATCCATGGCAGACACGATTCAGAAGAAGACTAGGGAGAAGGAGTAACTAACTACTTCTGAATATTTAGTCACTGAAAACTGTATGAATAGCAAAGAAACAACACAAAATGAAGAGAAACAGCTGTAAACATTCATTAATAATCAGAACACGGAATGTACAAAGTATGAATGTAAGAAAATTAGAAATTGCCAAAAAGGAAACGGAATGCATAAACATCGATAGCTTAGGCATTAGTGAGCTGAAATGGACTGGTATTGGCCATTTTGAATCTGACAACCACACGGTTTACTATGGCGGGAATGACAAATTGAAGAGGAATTGTGTTGCATTCATTGTCAAAGAAAACATATTTAGCTCAGTCATGAGGTACAATGCTGTCTGTGACAGGATAATGTCCATGAGCCTACAGGGAAGACCTAAGGGCTCTGGGTAGCGTAGTGGTTACGAGTTGGGCTGCTAAACTCAAGGTTAGCAGTTCAAAACTACCAGCAGTTCCGCAGGAGAAAGATGAAGCATTCTGCTCCATAAAGATTTACAGCCTCAGAAACCCTGTGCAGGGTCACTATGAGTCGGAACCGACTCCACAAAACCTACCAACAAATACAACAGGGAAGACCAGTTAATACCAGTATTATTCAAATTTTCACACCAACCACTAAAGCCAGTGAGGATGAAACAGAAGAATTCTACCAATTTCTTCAACCTGAAATTGATAAAACATGTAATCAAGATGTATTGATCATTAGTGATGATTGGAATACAAAGGTTGGGAGCAAAGAGGAAAGATCGGTAGTTGGAAAATATGGCCTTGGTGATAGAAATGATGCTGAAGAACGCATGATAGAATTCTGCAAAATCAATGATTTGTTCATTTCAAATACCTTCTTTAGACAGCACAAGAGACGACTATATATATATGGACCTCGCCAGATGGAATAAACAGAAATCAAACTGACTACATCTGTGGAAAGAGACCATGGAAAAGCTCAATATCATTAGTCAAAACAAGACCGAGGCAGATTGTGGAACAGACCATCAATTGCTCATATGCAAATTCACACTGAAGCTGAAGAAAAAGAAAACAAGTCCACAAGAGCCAAATTATGAATTTGAATACACCTCACATGAATTTAGAGGTCATCTAAAGAACAGATTTAATACATTAAACACTACAGACCAAAGACTAGAAGAGTTGTGGGATGACAACAAGAACATGATACAAAGCAAGCAAAAGTCATTAAGAAGACACGAAAGAAGGTTAAGGTCAAAATGGATGTCAGAGGAGACACTGAAACTTGCTCTCCAGTGTAGAGATACTAAAGCAAATGGAAGAAGTGAGGAGGTACAAGAGCTGAACAGAAAATTTCAAAAATCATCTCGAGAAGA